CTTGGCTGGCTTCTGCTCTGCAGCRTGACTTGTCAGTGGTGGTAAATCAYAAATGTTTGCAGGAAATGTGTATCCACCAGTGCAAGACTGGCAAACTCCTCCTAGACAGCAGGAGTGTAAAAATTCTCCAGCTAAACCCTTAACTATTTAGGGTGTTTAACAGCAGAAAGGACATGTGTTTCTCTGCGCCCCAGCATCCGGCTTAGCTCTGCACATACCCAGCACAAAAAGAAATGGAAAAAAAAAAAAAAAAACCAACCCCAAAGACCAATGGCAACTGCACCGTTTCACCCTGCTCACAAATAGACCGAATTTCCAGTGATATTTTCCTGCTTTTATTACTAAAACTCAGCAACTTTAAAAAAAAAAGTCTCTCTTAACGAAAGAGACCGTTAACCTAGTCCTTACTTTGCTAAGGCTTTGACTCAAAGCGATGTAACATTTGCTGGGTGTCCTAAAACCAGGGAAGTAACCCCTGTCATCAGAGGAGGTTTTGCTCAGGATCCTCTGCAGGGTCTCCTGGGCCCCACGTGGGGACAGCAGCAATGCAGCCTCCTGCTAGGCAGCACTGTGTCCCTCTGAAAATGATACAGGTTTTGCAGTATTTACAGGGAACGTTTGCACCAACACACTTTCTGCTGACTGAAACAGAAGTGAGCATTTACTACGAAAAGAGATTTTTCTTTTCTGTCTCCATAACAGAGTATTTAAATCCTTGTTGGTATCTCAAAGTCAACACTTCTCATGTTTAGTTATGTTTACAGCTACACATGCCTGCCCAGCAGTTGCACAAGCAGCCTGAGCTTCGGCAGCAGCGCTGCAGCTGGAGCACACTAGGCAGAAACACCCAAACCACCTCCTGCCCCACTGCTGGGCACACCCAATACACGGCATCGAGAAGCCTGCGGCAGCAACACTCAGGGAAGAGAAGTTAATACTGCTTTTTCTGCACCTTCCTCGGAAGAATATGGGTTGATAGAAATACAGGTTGTTTATAGTCACATCAGAGAGAAGTTAATTTCCTCTTTCTTCTTTCCCTTGCTTGATATGTAAGCTTGCCTTTCCAAAATATTGTAGCTTCACAGTACTGCCCTCAGAAATCTGAAGTAGCAAAAYATCAGAGAAAAATTGCTATTACTGTATAGTAACAGTTCTCTGAAAAGGGTCACTTTCTAAATATGGTTCTTTTCAAAATGAATTCTGTAGTTTGACCTACCTAGACATTGTGCTTGCAACAACTAGTCATATGTCAGAAAGACAAAAACAGCATGGCATTCAACACCAGCTGGGTGTCTTATTAGAAAAATAAACCTTTATTATCATCATCAAATATTTAAAAAGAATGCAATTGGGATGAACAGGATTTTTTTTTTTTTAATTCTAAAGCTGCATCCACTGTAACCCATTTACAGAATCCTAAAGCAGTTGATGAGAAAATGAAAGTTGCCTCAGCACTAGTGCTCTGAACCCCACTGCACAGCTTATTCACTGCTTGGTAAAACTTCCCTTCCCAACATAAATAGATGATGACTCTTTTTTGCCACAATACTTCATAAGGTTTAGTGTAGGAAACAGGCATTTCAAAACTTAATAACTAAAAATGTCAGAGATTTTGCATTATTAGATAAGGAATATTTTCCAAAAAGAAAGAATGGAAATCTACTGGCTCAGCATTTGATAATGGCATACAAAGGACCATGAATCACAGGGGAGGACAACGCAGGGTAGGCACTAATTAGGTTCTAACAGACCAAACAAAAGTTTAGATATGAATATACAATCAGCAGCCTGATCAACCCAGAAAGAAATTAAATGCATTAAAATTAAGCATTCAGGCTCTATCTACAAGCATGTTAGGACAATATTCTGCTAYTTCACTATTAAACAGAGTCAAAAATACACTGAAAAGTTTACGGCCTTTGCACCGACTCTGCAGGTCCAATTCACACTTCCAGGCTATTAGTAATACTGCAGTGCCTTCACATCAGACCTTTAGGTATGGCCTAGCTGAGATGGACACCCCGCTTTGATCCATCTCATATCCGGCTACAGGTGCCAGAGGAGCAGGAAAGAGACAGCAATAGCAGCACAGGGCAAATTACTCCTTACGTGCTCTGCTCTCCACCTGCATTGAAGCCCAAGCCATCACGTCTCCATAAGTTTGTCATTGTGCAAGCTACCTGAAACCAACACAGATCTGAACTAACACGATTCCGTTACCTCTGCAGCCATCGTGGCTTCGCCGGGCCGCGCGCCCACGCTCCGTGCCGAGGTCTCCACAGCTCTGTGAGCGTTCTTCAAYCAAACACCCAAGTGCAACCTACTGCAGCCTATCCACTCAATTAATTCTAACTTATGGGAGTACAAAACAGCAGATGAATCAAAAAAGCAAAAACTGGAGCCTTTGTGGGGAAAACCTGACCCCACCTTGCCACCAGCTATAGCAAGAGGGAATGAACGGCCCCAGAGACCTCTGGTGCTTCAGGTGCTGGGCAGGTGTTCCGAGTTAAGGACTTAACAGCTCGTTAAGAGCTGCCCTGCCTTGTCTCAGCAAAGAGCCACTCCAATAAGAAAATYGGTTTCATTTTGACCCTCTCTTTTTGACCTTTTATAAAGTAGCTACATTAAAAAAAAGAAAGCAAAATCAGAACTATTTTATAAAAGCAAACCAGGTATAACAACTTTGCATTTTCTCTGGCAAGAAACCTAATCTGTTTCAACGTCAGATAGTGAGAAAGCTGAGAAGTCATATTTGCTGGAGACAGTGAAAAGGTACAAAACACAGTATTATTCATCCTCATTTTCAAAAATGTTGGTGATGAAATGACTTAAAATAACAAGACCAAAACAAATCTGTTCTTTTAGGCCCCAAGACATTCAGAKTGAGACTAAGACAGTATCTTCACGCTGTCTTATCTACCTATGGTGCAATATTTAGCATTATGTTTACACTCTTGGCTCATATCCTACCTCCAGAGCAACCAAAGCATGAGTCCAGCTTARATATATTTTTAAAAGATAAGAGAAGATTAAACAGACTTACTAAAAATGCTATGGTTTATTCCGATACACTACACAAAGCTCACCTGTATCCAATTATAACACCCATTCACCACCTGGCTAAGACTGTTGGGGGAATTAATGCAGGTCTGCTGCGGCCATATAGATCTGATACTGAAATCACCTGCAACATTGATTTCACCTGTTGTCTCAGCAGCTCCTGAGATGGTTGCCAGCTAGCTGGTTGATGCACCCCCAAGCCAGTCACCTTTGCTCCCAAGTCCCCCCCACATTATAAATACACAATAATGCTTTTTGCAAGCATCTGGCACATACTCCAAGGCAAAGAGCACAATGTCTGGAAAGCAGAGAAAGAGGGCTTGCATTCTCATCCACATTAGCTTCAAATTCACCCATGCTCACGTTAATCTTTCACAGTTTTGTGTCCCCTTGCATTTCACTCCCAGGCCTCCGCTGCTTCCTGAGCAAGCCAGAATCAAGACCTACTTCCTATGCCCTATGAGATCATTTAAAAAACCCTTGTGATATATAAATAATGACTATAAGCAAAAGACAGCAACTTTTATATTTGCATAATCAAAAACAATAGGTGTTCATTCAACAGATCTAAACCTTTTCTTCATTTAATATTCSAAATGGGAGAATTTGCTTCTTCCTGAAATTAGCAGCCCAAAAGAGCTTCAGCCACATGTAGCTTACTCAGAAATATCTAACCTCACTCCAATTCCCTGCAGCACTTCAATAAGATAATTCCTTTTCCTTGGACACTACCTGCACTGCACCTGATCCACGTAGGAAAACATTCGCATGGCTGCCTAAAAGGTCACTCTCTCACAGCACTGCAGTGCCCTTTCCGTACAGATGCAATCACATTTGGGCCCTGAACTTTCTACTTCAGTGTGTTCAGATACAAAACAGGCTAAAATKTGCTGCAGGAAGTGCTCATTAAATGCAAGTTCAGTGCAAAATATTTATATCCCTAGCACCTAATCTATTTACGTAGAACCTTTAGAGTTCTCAGTGGGTCATTACCTAAATGAAAACACTGATCTTTTTCCAGAGGAAGTGGTAGCTCTGCAAGACAAATGACCTGTATCACCGAGGAGGAGGAGGAAGGGGCTGGCTTTTCCGTGAGCCCCTCTGGCTGCCGGAGGGGCGAGGGATGGAGGTGCCAGTACCAACTCTGCATCGGATCAGAGCTTTTGTTTTTTTCACTTATATCATTTTATTGGTGTAGGGGGAAAAGAAAATGGAAAAGAGGAAGCAGATAGAGATTCCAGATTCAATTTGACTGTAAATGATAAGCTAGACAAACTACAGATACCTGAATCAATTCCTTGTAAGATGATGTGCAGTAAAGGCTCTTCTACCCTTTAACCATAAACCTGACTCATCAAGTTTTATTAGTGCAACTGTGTGCATTTTTCCTACTTAACAACAATGATCATCTCAATTTCCTGTAACAGCATTTCCAACTTGTATCAATCCGCAGCAATTTACAAATAAGGTGCTCACAAGAAAGAGCTGTAAATGCTAAAAACACAATTCAAACTAAATGTCACCACACTGCAAAGGAATAAGGCACACTGCTTACCATCTTCAGGAGGCTTYGGTAACAAATTTTAAGTGTCTCCATGATTGAGTCAGGATAGATGAATCTTCCTGCTATAACTCTGATTTCTGCTTTGCCTGACACAAAGACCTTCTAAGTTTAAAATACTACTTGTCCTTTTACAGACTCAAAGGTTTGCTAGGGTCACAACGAACACAGAAAACAGTAGCTTTCTGTATCCACTTGACTTAAAATGAGACAACACAGTGGTGTGCTTGCGCATTGCCAACAACAAATCATTTGCTATCCTAGAAGATAGGATAGGATCCCACATCTTACATGATGTGTACACAAATGCATATATATATGATATATAAGATGCATTTTTTGTGGTATGTACTCTGCATTTTTGAGAATTTGCACCTACCTGCTGTCGAATTTCTTCTTCCATCTTTACTGGGGACCCCAACTCTGCAACTTGTTTGACACCCTCGCTGGCATATCCTCCATACTCCCAAAGGATGTAGTTCTTGGAGTGGGAACCGCCAATGATTGCTGACCAATGGTTGGTTCGTCCTTTCAAGAAGGAAAATTAGAAAAAAAAAGTTAAGAGTTGATGGCCATCCCAGCTCTTGTAACCTCAACTCTTGCGACCACCAAAACTGCCTCAAAGCAGAATTCATAGACTTTTCTTAAGATGAAAGGTCTGAAGTGCCCAGTTTTAGTGAGGATTCAGAATGTTCATGTGTTGCCTRCCATCAGTTCTCACTTAAACAGTTCCCATATTTTTGAGTAATAAAAACAAACCATTTAACTATACAGTCCATATTAGCTATAACAACAAAACACAGAAATGGTGAGAAAGATTGATTGTATTTCAACTGAATGTGCAGCCCTTCCCTGTTTTCAAGCGGCAGCATGCTAGGGTTTGCATCTGCATGATGACAGCAAGGAGATATAAAGGGTTTAATGCCAGAAAACAACTGCTATTCTCTCTGCTTCCACATATTTAAATTTTACATATACCAACCACATCTTTTTTTTTTTTTTTTTTTTTCCCCTTAATTTTCAGTAAGGTTTGCCTATACTTTAGGAATGAAGCAAAGACACCAATTCTGATGTCTCTGCATTTTCTTCAGTTTTCTTGCTTGGATTTCTCATAGTCTGTATGTTCTCCAGGCAGACAAAAGCACTTCTAGTCTGGTTGCTTATCTCACTGAATAGAAAAAATAAATATTTGTGAGTTTAAAGGAAAAGTGTTAGAGCAGTGCAATGGAACTGAAAAGAGAACAATACTGGATTCCACAAAAATGAATCCATGCTTGCATTTAAGTGTTAAATAAACAGAGCTCTGGAAACACATGGGCTTAAGAGGAAGGGGATGAGTGAATGAACCGCTTGCAAAAGCAGACACTGTGCAAAGACAGACTGCGGGGGCTAAGGGAGACTGATGGAATGAGACAGTGTTTAACATTTTTCTTTGTCACTCAGAAGGGAAAGAATAACAGAGCTGCAAAGTACAGTAAGYGAATGAAAAATGAATAACGAGGTAAACAAAAGCAGTGTAGATTTAAGATGTGAAAGGTGAGACAATGAAATTGAAAAAGGCAGTGCAGAGAATAGAACAAACTCAGATRTTTCCAACATAATCCCAGGAGTCTAGAAAATAGATTAGAAATAAAAACAAACAGCAATGGTACAGAAAAAGCCTAGAAAAATGCAGCAATCTGCTGATAAACAGATGAAAGGAGATGGCCTTGCAACATAACGAACAGAGCSTCCACAGGTTCCCCAGCGCACCAAAACAAACCTGCTGAGCTCTGGGCAAGAGCAGACCTGAAATTTTCATACCCCATACGAACTACTCAGCAATTAAGCCCTGAACGGAAGAAAAAAAAGTGTACACAAACAAAACCATCTATAACATACTAGCTGGAGAGGCTGCAGTGTGCAAAGACTCCCTCTTGATCTAGGATCTAATAATTGCATTTTAGACAGGCACAGGCACCTCGGCAAGCCCAAGCGCGGCGCTGGGAATTCAGCCTGAGCTGCCCCTCGCTTCTCTCTAGCCCCCAGGTGTGTCCCTCTCACAGGCCCCAGGTGCCGCTTTCCCAAAACGCGGCAGCAGCCCTCGCCAAAGGGGAGGGAGCGCAGAAGAAAAACCTGTCACTAGGAACCAGAGCACCTCAAATCTTCAGGATATCATCTCATGCATAGGCACTTGCCTTCAAACCTGATGCCCAGTCTGAGCACCAATACCACTTGCAGGAAGACGCAGGAATTTTCAACATTTAGTGTTAGTAGTACTGCATATATGTCACAATTTACGCTTCTGAGGTGTAATCAAGTAAAACATTTTGTATTATAGGATTAACTCCAACCCCATGACAGGTCCTAAAAGGAAAACACTCACGTGGAAAATCTTTTGGATGTGTTTTTTCTGACCAGTTTCCATAGAAAGTTAGCCTGTATTTGGCAGTTCCACAGGCACAGCAATCTAGAATTGGTTTGTCAGTCACACCTTCGGAGGTCGAGTCTAAAAAGGCAGCAATGAAAGTTAAGACACATTAAAGGCGGTTACAATTCAACATCAATCAATGAAAACAAAATTACAACAATACACTAGTAAGTAAATTTGAGTTGAACACCTTTTCTTTTGGTTATCTTGCATTTGGGGCTACATTAGGATAAATGGAAGGGGCAAGATTATTCTTCAGAAAGTCTAGCATATTTGAATTTCCATATTTGAAAAAGCTGTGACTACGAGCTTCTTTGGCTACAGCCAGATACTCCATATCTATTTTGTACAATTAAATATTTTACTGGCACAAATGCAGTTTATTAAAAATGAAAACTAGCCTGGTAAGTACCTCAAAAAGGAAGCAACTTTTTAGCCATTCTAAATTTTCAGGGAGAAGAAATAGGAATTATTCCATAAAAATTCTCTCTGCATAAACTTCTGCAGAAAGTTATTACTTTTCAAAGATATTTAAGAAGCCTCTTCTGGAAAGCATTATATTATGTGATGTGAAAGTTAAATCAAAAGCTGACACACAAGCTCGTATCAAGGGAATGGGCTATTGTTACCACATAGAGTTTAACAACAGACTCCTCCTGCAAGGGAGAAGGATCTGCTGAAGGCAGACACCCAACCCTAGCATTTACAACTGTAGCATACACACAGCTACTTACTTATGGAGGAAGTCACCATTGGTCACCATTACCAAACGTAAGGGTCACTTTTCATGTATCATTCATTTTTAACATGCTATATATTATGAATTAACGAAAGATTTCATAAAGTCCTTCGAGAATTTAGCTACAAAATTCCCCATAGTTTTCAAAGAGAATTTATAGACCTAAGGTACTTCAGAGAATTCCACCCCCTACATTGCCCAAACATCTATATATTGCCATAACAACATTAGTTTTAAGAAGTCAGCATAAAAACAACCACAAAGTACACTAGGAAAAACAAGAAAATGAGATTATCTTAACTTCCTTCACTGAAACAGGCTTTCTGGGAAAGAGGAGTTTACATATGCAGAAACCTGAAGACTATCACTAAAAGACAATTCCATCTGTTTTTTAATTCCTCATGTGACTTTTACCAACCTCCGTTATGCTTAGGCTTAGGTAATGATGGCCTGAAAGCAAAAGGTTTTCACACATACCATGGAAAAAGGCAAAAGGGCCCCATTTAGGGGAAAGCAAGGAAAAAAAACATCATGTTAACACTAAACATGCTAAGGAAGAATACATGTTAATTCAACTGAGTAGGAGATCCCAAATTGAAGGTGGCCAAGGGCCAAAAGTTGCTTTACTTCATCTTACCTTGTTCACAAATTTTTTTTGTGAGAGAACCTTCATCTTGAAAATAGATTATGCGCTTCTGCACAATACTGGCTCTATAAAGGCAAAAAACGTTTAAGATGCGTTTATTCCCTTAAAAAGAAGTTAATAAAACACAAACTAATAAAAGGACAGAAATGGGCTAATAAAAATTTAGTTAACACTTCCGATACCATAGAGAGAAAAGCAGTTCCATTTGCAGTTGAATTTCATTATGTTTTGCAAACACAAAATAAGTGCTGTTACTTTCAGAGATCACAGTCCTATGGTGAGGGGCTGAACTTAAGTGCATTGTTGTCAAATGACTATTAAATATCTGAATGAAATATTATATTGAAATACTAAAATTGCACTCAACCAAATAACAGCACAGCTAAAACAAGCTTCTATTTGTAGGAAATTTCGTAGCACTCTGCAGAGCTAAGCCTTTCTATGATAGCAGAAACACACAGTGCAAACAGCACCATAACGTGCAAACACATAGAGGAGAGGGTAGATAGAGAAATGGCATAAATCGAAGTCTTTCAGAGTAATTTAACAATTCCAAAAGACAGGCCACATTAAAATAAATTAAATCTGAAATACCAATTGAGACTTATGGATCAAACAAAACGCAGGTTTGTAAGACTCAGTTTATCTGGGGATTTGGAATATGAAAATGATACAGATAAAGTCAGTTAGTGTGCAGCTTTTCTCCCCATAGATGTTAATTGCAGACTCCCATCTGAAAGATCATAAGCTTTTTTTCCTTTTTTTTTTTTTTAATTAAATATCATTAAATCAGTAAAAAAACAAGTCCAAGTCCTTCCTTCATCCTGGCATCACATTCACTGCATGGTAAAATCTAAAGCCAGAAATCTACTGGAAAAGTAGTTAACTGAAYAAGTGAATTCAAACAATTTTGAAGATTTAGGCTCCTTTGCATTTGAGATCTTCAAGGTCTTTTCCAACCAAAATGATTCTTTGAGATGTTTGTCTTTTGAACAACCTTTCCCTTTTCACTCCTGAGCACATCCTGCCTGTCCTTCAGGGGCCACCTGCTCCCCAGGGACAAGATCCATTCCCTGCTTGCGGAGTTAAAGGGGCTCCCGGAGGGCAGAGAGCTTGTGCTGGCAAAACAGCAGAAGTCAGAGTTTTGCTGTAGTGATAGCACAAAAATGTGGACAGTTTAACTACTTGTTGCTCGTTTGACTCTACTATGCCTTTTCTATATCTACTATCATCAAGTAYGTACATCAGTGTACTGATACACTGTACAGTACACAGTACATCATCTACATACAGCAGTGAACTGGCACAAACAGTAAATATCTATTATCCCAYCTAATATCAAGCTTAATTTTCAGGAAATCCGAACAAGCATATTGAAATCATAGTGAATTCTTTTCCTTTGCCTTGGAGGATGACAGACTGCAATGTTATTTCTCTGTCCGTGGTGCAGCCTGCACTGCATGAGCTGCACAGCCCGCACTGCGAAGGCCCGGAATGGCCCCGAGGGCTAAGGTGACCCCTTGCAGTTCTCATTAAATTTAACTACTGTTTTARAACATTTTATTAATGCCCTTTATATTAATATCATTATATTGATTTAATTCAAAGGTAATTCTTTCTGTAAGAAAAGAGAAACTGGTTAAATTCAAAGAATGAGGGGGAAAAAAAAAAAAAACATAAAAACATGGTTTGCTGGAGAAGAGCTTCCTGGGGAGAACATGCTTTGGGAGCTGGTATTCTTTGGTCTCCTATCAAACCTTTGCATTGTCATCACTCAGCTGCCACGATCCTGAATTTAATACCCTGTCTCTTAATTGTTCTCTGGTGACCTGAGCTCGATGACAGTCCATAAAACTCTAAACATCAAGGCCCAGATTCTACTCTTACCTCAGCTTTACATCACATAATTACATCGATTTCCCTAGACTTACTGCCCTTCATGACAGCCCAATAAGAAGAAAAAAAAAAATCAGCTGTATATGCTTAAAACTGCTCAGTGACGTGAATCTGTCTTTGACAACTTCCCATTCTCTAAAATTATCAAAGTCAAACTGTAATTCTCATGTGCTCCCTTCGCCATAACACAAGCTCAGAGCTGCACAGAGGGGATACTTCGTTTTGCTCACAAAATGCACGGTCTTGTGGCTCTTGTCATTAAAACCACAGCTTTAAAGGTTGCTGGATGCTCTACTGCAGATGAGAACCTTGCTCTTAACACGGACCCATTAAAACACCTACAACTTCTGATACCCCATCAATCACAGTTCTTATAGCACTCTACCATAAAACTGGCAAGCAAAGCACTTAGGATGATTAATAAAATTGAGCTGAGCAGTCCCCTGAGCTGACAGGTATGCGCATGGCCCCGGTGTGCCCCGCGCAGCAGCCAGCTCGCTTTCCCCTGGTACTGCTGCTGGATGAGGGGCAGCCACGCAGCAGYCTTCATCAACTGGATGATTGAAGACTGGATCAGTGCATTTACCTGCTTTCAACTACCACCCTTTTGCTGTTGTTGCTATTTATTGTTCTAATATCTCAATAAATTTTAGTCCTCTGCAATAGTTCTGATTCTGACTAAAGAAAGTTGCCTCGAGCTTTGAGGCTTATTAAAGCAGGATGAAAACTAAATGGCTACTTTCTACAGAAAAACAAGCAGGCTTTAAGAATTCACACAAGATGCACATCCACTTATTCTCCCTAACTCCCTCCTTGCACTTCTAACCTGAAGTGCTGTCTGAACTTAAAGGGAAGGGGAGATTCCTATGTTCTTCCCCCTAGACAGTTAAAGTTTTAATGGATTTCTTTAAACTGACTTCTTCCTATGACTATCAACAAAACCAACTCATCAAAAGAGGAAAAGAAATATCACTCTCCCCCCAACAAATCACAGTATATTAAACAATAAAAAAGAAAAATGACTTCAAAATCTGTTTYGTTATCTTTAAAATGATGCTTTGAGATGCGTGCTTTTGCCTCGCCATTTTAAAAGGAAGGAAACCATATATGCTACAAGCTAACTCATTTCCTTTTCTATATATTTAGTAGCACCTATTTTTATTAGAAAAACATCAACTGAAAAACCCTAAAAATGCTGTTTATTATTCTTTCTCTTTTGCTGTTCTCGGCAAATCCAGAAGCTCCTGCAATATTTGGCTTAGCAATACAAGTCAGCAAAGGCAACAGGTTGGGTACCAAGTCAGCTGGAGCCCCTGTGCCGTCCCGGTTTGCTTGGTTCCAAGTTATCCCGGTGACTATGAGTATTTTTCATTTTTTCTTCCACAGACACAGCTTTATATCATCTTTCTAACTCCTTTTGTCAAATCACAGCATCAACAAAAACACTCTTTTATTTTGAAGCACCATCTGTGGGTGTAACGATGTGACAAAAGAAGTAAGGAAGAGTACCTTTAAAAACTGTTTCTCTGACAATTTTTAAGCTTATATCAAAACCCTGAAGTACAATAAATGCAGTTACAGTTTAATACAAGCGATTTTGCCAGAGCAGGTGGAGGTACACCGAGCTGGCAAGCTTGTCCTCTTTCTTCCACTTCTATCAGATAAGGAAAAATGAAAAGCTCCAGCTACCCCAGAGTTTAGCTCTGTCATGAACCGTCAGCAGGGGTCAGCACAATTACAAACTTGCCTAAAATTCATTCTTTCTTGATACTGAACTTTGGTTCCTAGCATGGTTTCATTTTTTTCTTTTTTCTACAGTGTGCTGGTAACATGGCTGGGCCAGCCATTCAGTCGAGATACTCCCCATTGCTTAAACCAGAGCAATATTCATGTCAGGCTCCGCAGCCTTCCCGTGCTGACTGCCTTTTCTCCAACAGCTGCCAACACCAAAAGCTGCTCCCTGACAGCTCAGCACATCCATACCCACCAGCAGGCTCTTCTTCAGTTCTACTCCTAAATCCTGTTCACCAATCCTGTCAAAAAATAACATTGAGCAAACCTCTACATGAAGAGCAAAGTCCTCCAATTTGTCCTATGAAGCGCGACCAGAAGCTGGAACATTTTCCTAGCACATACTAATATCATACTCACCTCTACCATCACAGGCATGCAGAGCAACTCACTGATTCCAGGACTGTGTTGGACATCATATGTAATAGAACAAAAATCTCTAAGGAAAAACACAATTATATATGCTGCTATGTTGTATTTGTCCTCAGAAAATCTCTCTGTTCCTTGCTTGGATGGTCACAAGGCATAAATATTACATTTAAAATCTTCAGGAAGAAATACTCTTACTGACAGGATCATTTCTGACATATACAGCACACCTCTTACTTGCAACAAATGAAAACACTGGAAAAAAAAAAAAAAAAAAAAAAAAAAAAAAGAGTGAGTTTGCCTGGGCCTCTTGAGCAAATTTCAGGTTCCTTAACTCCCACTGCTACTTGTGGGCTAGGTTATCCTCACCAGGCATTTTGCTAGTCATTTTTTTTGCTCTAAGTACTGTGTCCTTGGATGTCAAGACTAAACTTCATAAATCACACTGTAAAGAAGAGCTAGGAAAAGCTGGACAGCACTGCTTGGAGGATCCATTTCTCTCCCTGCTCCAAGTCTGTGCAATAGATGGGAATGACAGACTATCAAAGGTGGGAGCACAGCTTCAATCCAGAGAGGCCACAGCTGCAGCCAGGGCTTCCCTGAAGCCTCTGCAAAGAGCTTAGAGACCTCAGACCCCTGAAACAGGCTGGAGTGACAAGTACTGCTGGGAACTGATTGACT